TAAAAACAAAAAAATATAAAAAAAATTTCAAGGAAATGCACATGATACACTAGACGTAAATTTCTAGGCACTATTCGCATCGCACGTACCACCCGACGAGAAATACCTCTTCGAGAATGACATGGCGTGATGTATTGATAAGGTATATCTACTATGAGTTCGTATACGCTATCGAAGTTTGGTTTTTCAATTGTTCACCAGTTATTTTTTATTCTAAACATTTTATTTCTTTGTAAAAGTATTGTATTACCAAGACTGAACCATTTTACCTCGAGACGAAAACGAACGGAGTAGATAACCGCTATACTGTCGTACAGAAGAGGGATGATGACAGGGTATGAAAATTAAAAATCTAATTAGTCCGTAATGAAAGAATATTAGACATGTATTTTTTTATCTTCATCTATCTATACATATAATAAAATTATAGAAAAGTGCTGTCTGTACATTGAAAATAAAAATAAAAAAAAAAAGGGGCTATTGTTATGTCGATGTCGAACCCAAAAATGTAACTAACTTTTTTTGTCTGTTTGTCTGTTCACGCTAATCTCAGAAACGGCTTATCCGAGTTGGATGCGGTTTTCACCAATATATTGTGGTATGCTTCAGTTATGCTTTAGTGTTTGTTTCATGTCAATCGGTTCATAAATAAAAAAGTTACGTCAAATTAAAGAATCACGTCGAACACTATCTATCTATCTATCTATACATATAATAAAATTGTAGAAAAGTGCTGTCTGTACATTGAAAATAAAAATAAAAAAAATAGCAGGGGCTATTGTTATGTCGATGTCGAACCCAAAAATGTAACTAACTTTTTTTTTGTCTGTTTGTCTGTTCACGCTAATCTCAGAAATGGCTTATAAATATATATATATTTAACAGGGTGCGGAAAAGGTGATAGTGGTTTTATTCCTCAGATTCCTCTCATTCCAAAAAATTTTCCGTTTAATTTTAAACGAATTCAGTTTCCAGTGAGCCTATGTTTCGCCATGACAATTAATAAAGCTCAAGGTCAGACTCTAAAAGTTGTGGGTATAGATCTAAGTATCAGCTGTTTTTCGCACGGTCAATTGTATGTGGCTCTGTCCCGTGTTAGCAATCCCAGCAGCCTGTATGCTTTCACCCCCGATGGCCATACGTCTAATATTGTATATAGAGAAGCATTACAGTAAAGTAGGTTTTTTAGCTACCCAAAATGACTGTGATGTGATTATGATCCAAATCTAAAATAAAAATAAGTATATATTTAAAAAGTCACTATTCTACGCGAACGAAGTCGCGGGCACAGCTAGTGTATAATAAAATGATACTTAGATATAACGAATCAAAGTTTAGAAGTGGGGGCTTAAACGTCATGTCTACGTATTAAATGTACATAGAAGTGACGTCACGCCACATTTCAAATCAATATATCGTCGAAAGTATTAGTTTCTATAAAAAATACGACAGACAGACATTAAAATAAAAATTAGTCATCTACCCTATTATCTACACTAGAGGTAGGTAGTGTGTTCCTAAGTTAAAAACTTCCTGATGGAAAGCTGGATTAAAAATAATCAGCGAGCGTTGTGCGCTGATTGGATGACACACCATTGTGCGTGTCCGACAGAGTGGCATCTAATCTTGCAACAATCTCATTCAACTGAACTATTTCGTTTCGCTTATTCCCTCTCGATTCGTGGAAAATGTTTTCCTAGGATATTTCACTGCAGTAGTGTGTGTGTAGCTTTAGGAGATTTAAGATCAGGTATTTTTGGTTAAATCCACACTTTGATATATCACTACAAACTATATGACCTTCAAACTTTTTTGAAAACAGCGTACTCGATCCTTCTTGAAAGACTGGTAACGCACATGTGAATTCACTGGTGTTCCAGATGTCCATGGACGTATCTGATCACTTACCATCAGGTGTTCCATATGCTAAAGTCAAATCCAATACATAACTGAAGCACAAAACTTTATAAATTAAAAAATACCTACATAAGTAAAGAAATCTGTAAACGCTGATTCTTGAAGACAATTAACGTCACGCCGTTTATCGTAGAAGGGGTAGGCACAGGTGCACATTACTGCACTTCATGCCACTGTACTGTGTAACACCCAGTTTTCACTATTTATGCTATGAGTCCCATGTAATAGGGGGTAAGCTTATTGCCATATACAGAGCACAATTTCAGACTCCGTGCTACTGTGCGCCTCAAAGAGCCATCAGACCACCATAGATGGGGCCCAGTAGGGCTGATGCCCAATACTGAGCCGCGGAAGGCCTACCGGGTCTGGGCTTCGGCTCGAAGAGCACAAGTAGGAAAGGGGTGGTATGATGATCCCTCCTCAAAAAAACCCAGTAATATTCTTAAAGACTAATAGGTATATAGATATTTAAATGATTTATTTAACACTAAACACTACCCCAAAGTATACCACTGAGAATTTCAATTATCCCCACAAATGGCGAGCCTATATCCAGAGACCTAAACAAAGAGATGTTACTTGCATTTCACCCGATTGTCCTGTACCCTGATTGGTTGACGTCATCACGTTTGCAATTTACTAGTGACGTCATCCGAGAAACTAATTTTCGTTATCTGATTCTCAATCGATTACCTAGACATTGTTATTACTTGGAGGCTTTAGTTGAAACCTGGTCATTGGACATTGATTTCAAACGGCGTGTTATGCAGTCCTGCATCAGTGATTCGGTAGTCATAAATCTGATTTATTGAACATGAGGTTTTACTTCAATATCCGGGAAAATTGACTCCACAATTATTGTAGTGGTTGAGTAACTAGTTGCTATGTAATTTATCAAATTATGATCCCCCTCAATATCAAAAAAGCTCCTAATAAAATCTCCTTCAAACACCAAGTTCATGAATTTTATTTAAAATCGCTGCAACGCTAGATCTAGGTCTTCGTCGATATATATTTATGTATGTATTTATACCTATATATTTTATGCATATGACTATATATACTATTTACTATTATGTAATATATATGTATAACTATATTATTTAATAATTACCATTATTTTTTCCTCTCTCTCTCTCTCTCTCTTTGTTGTTAGTTTATTCTCCGTACCTCAGTTTTCGCAGATTTTCTACTTAAACCCTAAGGTTGACTGGTAGAGAATGCCATATGGCATTAAGTCCGCCTTATGTACCATAAACAAATTATGTACATTAAAGAATAAATAAATAAATAAAAAATGATTCGAAGTCCGGCTATGTGAATTTGTAAGTTTGTAAACGTACGACCCACGACACAGGAGAATCCTAGAGAAGAGCCACTAACGAAAAACTAGAACAATTAAGCACCGCTTGATCAATTATGACAATAGGTATGAAAGTGTGCCTTATATCTTTTCTTTTTTATTCAGTATCTAAAAGCGAAATAAAAATTTACTCATTCGTGCATCGAATCCCGCCTGGTTTAATGACCTTTCCATTAACCTGCTTTGCCCTAAGACTAACGAGGTGGTCAATATAATTATTTCTTAATGAAAGGCTTTTTCCAGTGCTTAAAAGTATTTAAATTTAAAATAAATAATGTTAACGATATAAGGGTCGTTTACTCCAGTTTTCAGGTTTTTCAGTGCAGTGCGGTGAACGCAACGAAACCACTTTTTAAAATATTGTTCATTATTACTCTTTTAAGAAAATAATAAGTATATGGTTCGACTATTTACTCAGCAAACACGCTTAGCCGCTTAGGACCATTCTATAGAAGAAAACAGACAAATTTTTTTAAGTGTGGGTATGCCAAGCTTGACCGGAGTGATACC